CAGTGGATATAGTGTTTGCCTTGCACCCAGCCAACCTGGGTTTGATCCCCAGCATCCCATATGGTCCCCCAACTACCTCCAGGAGTAATTCCTGAGTAAAGATCCAAGAGGAATAACCTCTGAGCATTGCCGATGTGACCCCAAAAAGCAAAAAAAAAAAAAAAAGGTCGACACCGTCGTCCCCAGGATGGGCATTTGTGAGGGGCAAAGAGAGAGCTCAGGCAGGAGTTTTGAGAAATCTCAGAGTTTCCAGTGGGCTGCAGCCAGAATCAAGCTCTTGAGAAAGACAACGGGGACAGACATTCACAAAGGCCAGAGTCTGACCTTCACCTTCCATGACTCAAGGACCCTGGGAAGGACCAGGATTGAGGCAAGAGGGGCAAAACTAGGAAAAAAGGATGCTCTTCACTCAGAGATTTTAGGGTGATAGTGAGGGGACCAGGGAGGAGGCCAGATTCCACGTGGGAAAATTAGCAAAACATGTTTATGTTGAGAGAGAGGCTGCGTGCTCCTACGGGCAATCTTGACTGATAAGTGAGCAAAATTGCAGAAGATAAATATGGCAAGATTCCTCTTAGGGCTGGCAACAGAAAGAACTGTTTTCAAAGGAGGCACATTTGCTTACTTTGGGGATTCTGGGACTTAAACTAAAACTTGCTCACCAGGATCAAAACTACCTTACTTGGGCTATAGCGATAGTACAGAGAGTAGGGCGTTTGCCTTCTACACGGCTGACCTGGGTTCGATCTCCGGCATCCTATATGGTCCCCCGACCCTGCTAGGCATGACTCCTGAGTTCAAAGCCAGGAGTAACCCCTGAGCATCGCCAGGTGTGATCCATAAAGCAACAACAACAATGACAACAACAAGAAGCATCAAAACCCACATTACTCAACAGGCAATTCATGCCTCTGCCCCCAGACCTCTCCAATATATACCCCTCTTTCTACCTCATGCCCCCAACACACATACCCATTCCCTCCTGGACAGCCTGGGGCCTTTCCAACAGCGGTGGAGGTATTTCTAGGCTGAGCAGAGCTGGAAATGAAAAGATAGTTCTGCTACTTTAAGTTTAGTGGTCTCTGGGTTTTTTGTTTGTTTGCTTTTGCTTTTTGGGTCTCACCTTGCGATGCACAGGGTTTACTCGTGGCTGTGCACTCAGGAATTAGTCCTGGCGATGCTCATGGGACCATATGGGATGCTAGGAATCGAACCTGGGTCAGCGCTTTCAAGGCAAATGCCCTACCTGAGGTGCTATTGCTCCAGCTCTGGTCTCTGGGGCGTAGACAAACTTGTCTTTGAATCCTGGAGCTATTGCTTACTCAGGTAAGACGTACTGAATTTACTGTGTTAGGAGAGAAGCCGGCCGGCCGCATGCCCCCTATGTGTGGATGAGAGAACTCCAAGAAGAAAGCAGACCGAGCCTGCCCCCTATGTGTGGATGAAAGAAGTACATGAAGCAACTCGTGGAGACCATCTCACATTCACTCAATTCCGAATCTTCAGCATTTGGCCACCGTCCAAGGCCTTCTTTGACCTTTGGGTAACTTTATTTTCTGCTGCTTCTTTCCCTGCTCTCCTCAAGGTAGGTGTGGAAAGGGAACAAGCAAGCTCACAATAAGGCCGACTGTGACAGTGCAGTCCATGAGAAAAAAGTTGGACTCAGGGTAACTGAGGGTTTTAAGTCAGTGGTTTCATTCACAATATTTTGGGGGGAGGGCACACCTGGTGGTACTCAGTGGTCACTCTTGGGGACCATACGCAGTGCCAGGGATCATACCAGGGTTAGAAGCATGCAAAACCTTACCTGCTGTGTTACCTCTCTGGCCAGGTCAATCTCTCGTAGGAGAAAAAGCCAGAATCTTGGACTCATGAGGAGAAGCACATGCTACACCAACAAGTTGCCTCTTTTTGCATAATAGAGAAAAGATTCCCCCCTTTAGAGAAGGAAGCTAAAGATGGTATGCAAATCCATAGACATTTTTAATGAAAAAAGTCATGTAACACAGTAAAAAAATATGCACTTCCCCACTGCGGGTAGATTAAGTAGCAAATGGGCTGAAAGGCACAAATTAGGTTATAATTTCATCATAGAAGTCAGATGACCTTTTGCACCAATGTAAATAAATGAAACAAACCAAAAATCAACACAAAGTCCTTAAATTGCTTTTTGGAATAGCAGCATTTAAGCCTTCCTTGGCACCCAAGATTATTCCTTTGGAGTGTGGAAGAATTGTTCTGCTGAATGTTTGGTCAAAGCGTCACCTCCTTGGAGCATTTTCTTTTTTCTTTTTCTTTTTCTGTTTTGGCGCCACACTAGTGGTACTCAGGACTTACTCCTGGATCTGTGCTCAGGGATCACTCTTGGTGGACTCAGGGAACCATATGGTTGCCAGGGACTAAACTTGGGTGTGCAAGGCACACACCCTCTCTGCTGGACTACTACTCTGGCTCCAACTTTGGAGCGTTTTCATGAAAATGTCAGACAATTGTGGAAAGCTAAAGAAGGGGCTGAGTTTTCATGCATTCAGCAGAGACTAACACTTGGTATAGGTACAGTGTGACCCCAAGGGACATATTTTTAGGGCTGGGCCCTTATGAGATCCAAAATAATGGAGCCCTGCGCTATGCAGAAATGCCTGACATTGAGTTGAACACAGGGCACTCAGGGATGTTTTCTATATAAAATGTTTCACATGAATGAGGCTGAACTGATAGTACAGTGGATAGAGGATTTGCCTTACACATGGTCAACCCCGTATGTTTCCCAGAGCCTGCCAGGAGGAACCTCTGAGCACAGTGCCAGAAATAAGCCCTGAGCACCTCCAGGTGTGGCTTCAACCCTCAAAAAAGATTCCACACTAAATTCTTTGTGATGGGAATACTGCTTGGCTCCCCCATGACCGAAGGACCTCAGAGCACGAAGCGAACTCTCAGCTGGTACCTGGGGCCTGGTATGTGTGTGTGTGTGTGTGTGTGTGTGTGTGTGTGTGTGTGTGTGTGTGTGATTGTTAACCCTCCTCCTGAAAGTGTCTGCTGAAAGGGGGAATTTCCAGCACAGCTTCAGGCTGGGGCTGGCAGGGGTTGGGAGTGGGGTGGGGGATGCTGGCGGCCCCTGTCCAGGACTGTCTTTAAGTGGTTCCCGACACTGCAGAAATGTCTCTTCTCAAAAGGGTTTGTCAGGAAAGAGACACAGCAGCTGTGTCACGCCTCGGAACTCAGTATCCTAAAAGAATCCCCCCAAAGGAAAGGGAACCTTTCTCTGACTCCACCAGATGGCAGGAGGAGAACGTTTGTAAAACTTTCATGGACCCCACCTGCTCTTTCCCTCCAGCTCTCACTGCTTTCTGTAGATGCTTAAACCCCTGTTCTTGACGCTGACAAACCCAAACAAAGTGACCCGAGGCAACTGTTGATGGGTCCACATGTAAGTCTCAAGGCAGGGGTGATCTAGCAAAGAGAAGAACAAAGTTTATGGTGTGTGTGTGTGTGTGTGTGTGTGTGTGTGTGTGTGTGTGTGTGACACCCAGTGGTGCTTGGAGATCACTTCTGGCTCTGAACTCAGTGGACCACGTGCAGTGCAGGGGACCAAACTGGTCAGCTGTATGCAAGGCAAATGCCTTGATTCTTTTTTTTTTCTTTTTTGGGTCACACCCAGCGGTGCACAGGAGTTACTCCTGGTTCATGCACTCAGAAATCTCTCCTGGCAGTGCTCGGGGGACCATATGGGATGCTGGGAATCAAACCTGGGTCTGCAGCGTGCAAGGCAAGTGCCCTACCTGCTGTGCTATTGCTCCAGCCCCAAATGCCTTGATTCTTAAACTACTTCTCCAGCCCCCCTATCAGCTTTTTTTTTTTCTTTTCGGGTCACACCTTGCAATGCACAGGGTTTAGTTACTCCTGGCTCTGCACTCAGGAATTACTCCTGGCAGTACTCACGGGACCACATGGGATGCTGGGAATTGAACCTGGGTCAGCCCCGAGCAAGGCAAACACCCCACCTTCTGTGCTATCGCTCCAGTTGCCAGGAGCACACTGGGCTTTATTTGTTGTGCTATTTGTTTTGTTTTTGGTGCTGGGGTTGAAACCCAAGGCTTCATGCAAGCAAGGTAAATGCTCTGGCCCCGAGCCACCTTCCCTGTCCCTGGAGGAGAACACGGAAACCTGAGGGAAAACCTCGGACCTTGAACATGGGTCTCCTGCCTCCCCTGCTCACTGGAGGCCTAAATGATGGGAAGACCTTTTTTTTTTTTTTTTTTTTTTTTTTAAGTGAACAGGGTCTGTCCCTGACCCATCCCAGGAGAGGCAGGGAGAAGTGGACTTGAGTGGAGGAGACTGAATTTCCTTGTTATCCATGTATTCAGGGACATCCAAGTGACTCAGAATTTCAGAAATGTTACTGTGTAGGTGACAGTAACGGCCAAGGAACCATGTCTGAGACCAGGATGGGTCAGGGGGTCAGCTGGATAAATGGCATTGTGGGTTGATGACATGGGGGGAGGGGCGAGCCGGGGACCCCTTCCTACCAACTGGTAGCAGGTAACCCCACCTCTGCGCGCTGCTGTGCCCCAGACTTGGGTCTCCGGTAAGAAAGTGTGTGTCAGAGGAAACAGAAGGAAGCGGGGCTGTGAAGAGGAGACCGCTTGTCCTTGCGACCAGCGTTGGTGGACCCAGCGCCCTCCCGGCCTCTGCTTCTCTTCCAGCGTCCAGCCACAGAGCAGAGAGCACGGTCCTGTGGGGCCTCGGGATGCTCAGAGGGCTGGGCTTTCTCTGCACCCCCACTTGACAGAAGAGGCATCGGCGCCCCCCTTTTCAAGCAAAGTAAGAAAACGGTGTCCCCGTGGGTGTGCTTGAAGTCAGGCGAGGATCTAGGGGCGGGGGTCCGGGGGGAAACGGAGCTGTGGGGTCCACACTGGGCGGGAACCCGGTCCTGGCCGTCCCGGATCACGGTGCCTATTGGCTCGGCCTCTCCGAACAGGCCCCGGCAGGTGGGCTCAGCTTCACTCCTGGCCTCCGGTCAGCTTGTGGAACAGGTCCTCATCCAGCGTTTCATTCTGGTCCTTGGAGCGCGTGGACAGGAAGATGTAGCCCCCGATGTACTCGTGCACCACCTTGCAGTCGGCGCTCAGGCAGGTGAAGGCGATGGAGACGTTCTGGTCGAACTCGATGGCCACCTGCAAGAGGCAGGCACGGCTGAGCTGGGCTCCGCGGGGGACCCGTCCGGGAGCTGGTGGCCGCGTGGTCAGGGAGCCCCTGGCCGCCCCGAACCCGCCGGGGAACACCTATGCGCGCGCTGTCGGCGCCCTCTGGTGGCAGTACTGTAAAAGCGCACCTGGCAAAACATCTCTATTCTAGGAGATTCTTTTCTGCGCTTTGCTGAGATGGGAGATTTCCCACCTGCTCCCCGGGTCCAGTGGCAGGGTGTTTTGCAGAATTTTAAACGGACGATCAAAATCCCGACTCAAAATTTTTTTTCTGTATTTTGGGTCACACCCGGAAATGCACAGGGGTCACTCCTGGCTCTGTACTCAGGAATTACTCCTGGCGGTGCTCAGGGGGCCATATGGATGCTGAGAATTGAACCCAGATTGGCCGCGTGCAAGGGGAAATGCCCTACTCGCTGTACAATCGCTCCATCCCCTCAAATTTCTTACAGCCATATTTTCCAGTTAAAAGTTATACCTTCCAGAGGGCTGGAGTGATAGCACTTGAGATGGGGTATCTTAAAACTCTCTGTGTGACACGAATATAGGTTTCAGAGCCACAATTTAGGAGCTTGTTTAATCCTGGACCTTCATTATACCCACAAGTGCCTATATGGGTAATCAGACTGCTGAGAGGGATCCACATTTCTTGGAAAAGGGGAGGAGCAGTGACCATCCCTTACATGAAGGGCTTCTTGCAGAGGGAGAAGAGACTCTGTACCACTTGCAGAATCCTGAAGTCAGAGAGAGAGAAAGTGAGAGAGAGAGGAGAGAAGAGACAGAAGGAGAGAGAGGGAGAGAGAGAAACAGAGAGGGAGAAAGAGAAGAGAGCAGGGAAGGGAGAAGAGAGAGATAGGGAGAGAGAAAGAGGGAGAGAAAGGGAGAGAGAGGAGAGAATGATAGACAGAGAGGGAGAGAGAGACAGAGAGAGACAGGAGAGAGGAGAGAGTGACAGAGAGAGAGCCTTAGCTCAGGGTCTGGAACCAATGCTGTGCAAATGGGAAGCCTGAGTTAAATCCCTCACACTACCTAGTGCCTCAGAGGTGAACAGAGAGTTGGGGATTTCTCTGAGCTTTGCTGGGTATGCTTGAAAGACCAAAACAAGTCACCTGCAAATTCTTTAGAGTCACTTGGGATATATGAGCATTCACACCAATCTTCTCTTACCTGTGGATAAGAGGTAAGGCCACAGACCCCCAGAACCGAGCGGGTAGACCAGTTGTTTCCAACCTTCCTATCCTACAGACCAACATCATGGGTAGGCCGGTGAGGACTAAGAGACAGACCCTTAGACCGAACTCAGATGGGGGACCTGGGTCCTGCACTTGCCACACTACAGTGTTCTTCTCCCTTTGGGATGGAAGGCACTCTAGGGAGGAAGGGGAGCAAGGGGGAGGCAGGCCTCTAGAGCCTCAATGGGTAGATCTCCCGGAAGTCAGTCATTGGAGGTCCCTTTTGATTGAGTTACATCTCAGGGAGAGTCTAAGTAATTCAGAGCCTACATTTGAGAGAATTCTATGCTGGCTCAAGGAAATGAAATTGCTCGGCAATTTCTGTGTCTGTCTCTCTGGAAAAGTCGGGAGACTAAACTGAGTTGTGGGATCAGTTTAGAACATTGGGCCTGTACTTGTCAGGAAACTGCCCAGAAGAGTAAGCAGTCATTTTAGCAATTACCACCTTCTTCTGGTTTCTTACTTCTAAAGATACGAGCACCCTTTTTTAGATCAGAAAACTCTGTGCTGCTGAGGGAGCCCACATTTATTTCTAGACTCGACACTCACCACCCTAGACATTCAGTTTACCTGCCGGATTTCCCAGTTTACATTCCACTGTTTCATGTTGGTGAATCTCCAGGTTGTAATTGGAATTCCAGTGACAGCGTCAATTCTTATCAATCTGTTATAGGAAACTCCTAGAATGTCATCTTTCTTACTTCCTTTAAATCTGAAACAGAAATAAAAAAGCTCCCATTAATTAAAAGGAATAGCTAGAGCTGGAGGTGATGCTTAGTGGCAAAACCCATGCTTCAAATGTGTGAGAGGCTGGGTTTGATTTCTGGTACTATGAAACAAAAAACAACAACAAAAAAGCATCTGATTCCTATAGTATGGTGTATTCATTTGTCAACTATGATTTGTTTTGTTTTGGGGCTAAAATGTGATGATGGTTGGGAACTATTCCTGGCTCAGAGCTCAAGGACTGTTGACAGAATCTGCTTATTAATCAAATAACATGATTTTTGTTTTGGGTCATACCTAGCAATACTCAGGGTTTGATCCTGGCTCTGTATTTAGGGACCACTCCTGGCTGGGTTCTGCAGACCATGTGAGGTGCTGAGGATTGAACCTAGGTGAGCTGTGTGCAAGTGATCTACATGCTGAACTATCTCTCTGGCCCCTAGGACCAAATCTTTGGAAAGTAAAACCTGTCTTTAGCTAGCTTGCAAGGGTTCTGGCATTAAGAGCTGAGGTCTGGAGGATTTTTGTGCACAGACAAAAAGGATCTGGTCCTTTGTGAAAGAAAGACTGGTTTTCTAAAATGAAAAGTGTTTTCCATTCCAGATGAATCGAGAAGAGACTGGGCCCCAAGGAAAGGGAGAGGGAACATTTTTAAAATTTATTATTATTATGTTTTTCTTCTTGGGTCACACCCAGCGATGCACAGGGGATACTCCTGGCTCATGCACTCAGGAATTACTCCTGGCGGTGCTCGGCGGACCATATGGGATTCTGGGAATCAAACCTGGGCCAGCTGCATGCAGGGCAAATGCCCTACCTGATGTGGTATTGCTCCAGCCCTGTGAGAGGGAACATTTTCATCACCTGACGAGGTAGTAGGTGAGGCCGAACTCGGGTAGAGACTGCCACGCTTGGATGAATCGTAACTTGGCTTCGACCAGTGGCATCTGGGCCACGTTCTGGTGGGCTTCCAGAATCCGGGCTGCCAGCTGCAGAAACAGAGACACAACCACCCTCCTTAGAAGGCACTGATGATTCTGGGACCATCCCGTGAGCACGACCACAACTGCAGTTCTGGAGAGCTGATGCATGGCCATTCATTAATTCCTTGATTCACTCATTCTTTTTTTTTTTTATGAAAGATGATTTTCCCCACTAACATGAAAATATCCTCTTTCTATGCAAGTGAGGTGAATCAGGACCAAGAGCAGCCAACATCAAGGCTTCTAAGTTTCATGTGGATGAAGAGTTCTAAATTCTAGAACTGTAGAATTTTAGGATTTTATTCCTTTAGCTCTGAATTCTAGAGCCTCTAGAATTTTAGAGGTCCATGGAGTGTTTGTGCATAATGGCTCTGATTGAATCAGTTCATTTATGTGACTTTTAACCTGCTCTTATGGCACACAATTTAAAGTTGTTAATATGTAGGAACTAAATGTTTTCTTTTGGGGGGGATCATTTCAATTAAAAGTAAAATTCCATATGTTGCCAGGTTCAGGAGGCGGTTTGCTCACCCTTAACCAAATCAACAATAATGTCATCTGATAATAATCCAATCCCCCTTCAGCTGATTTTTCATGATTTTGTAACCACTTAATAGTTTAGTATCAGCACAGCGGGTAGGGCGTTTGCCTTACACGTGGCCAACATGGCCGACCCGAGTTCGATTCCTCCGCCCCTCTCGGAGAGCCCGGCAAGCTACCGAGAGTATTCGATATGCCAGACACAGTAACAACAAAGTCTCCAATGGAGACGTTACTGGGCCCGCTCGAGCAAATCGACGATCAACGGGAGGGCCTTTACCTTTACCTTTATCCCCCCAGTTGTTAATTTTTTTTTAAATTAAACCACTGTGAGACACACAGTTACAAAGTTGTCCATGATTTGGTTTCAATCATAATCATACCATGTTCCAACACTCTCCAACACCCATCCCTTTACCCTTTACCCAAGTACATTTCCCACCACTAATACCCCCAGTTTCCCTCCTCCCACCCCCATCTGCAGTCTGCCTCTATAGCAGGCACTTTTCTTCTCTCTCTCTCTCTCTCTCTCTTTCTCTCCCTCCCTCTCTCACTTTCTTTCCTTTTGGGCATTATGGTTTGCGGTACAGATACTAAAAGGTTATCATGTATATCCCTTTGCCTATTTTAATAAGCTGATTTTTAGTGATAGTTTTTCATGATTTCATAACCATTTTAATTCTTCATCATATTTCAGAGAGCACAGAGTTCACCAAATTCAATAATCATCCCCAGCACGATTAGCAGTACCTGTTTAGACTTGTGTTTCTTGGCACACCGGGGCGACACAAAGCATTCTGGGTTAATGTCCAGGTTTTCGAGACTGGATGTCACCTGAGATGTGGAGTTCCGGTTTTTCATCTTTAGAAAGGAGAGGATGTTGAGGACCTCTGGCTGGTAGGAGCTGTCTGCCATGGTCTTGCCCTTTGAGGCCAAGATGCAGGCAGCCATCCACTGGGCATACTGATCCTCCTGCAACAAATAGCAGACGGCGGAGAAGCCAGTTGAAAGGCACAGCCACACTCTGCTGGGGACAGAGAAGGACTAGCGCTTTGATCTGTATGAAACAAACCTCTTGCACTCCCAGCAAAGGTAGATGTGAACTGGCACATATTCTGGGCAGGTGCTAACTTCCTAATTTAATACCCAACCAAAAATTCTGAGTCTTTTGTGAATTTCCAGATGCTAAGGAGCTAGACAATAGAAATACATGCGTTGGCAAATTGTGCACTAAGAACTTTGCACTTAAAGATCAACCAAGGGTACAAAGCAGTGTCCTGGACACAGACAGTGTGCCCTAAACTCCTAGACGTCATTCCTGATATGCATTTTCATTCTCATGCCACATCTAATCTCTATGACAGCAGAAAATGAGTGGAACATTTTGTATTATTTCTCCCAGTCCCATCCTTAGCAGATCAGCTGACTTTCATGGCATATCTTTTAATTTTTTTTTTCCTTTTTGGGACACACTCAGCAATGCACAGGGGTTACTCCTGGCTCATGCACTCAGGAATTACTCCTGGCACTGCTCGGGGGACCATATGGGATGCTGGGAATTGAATTCGGGTCGGCCGCTTGCAAGGCAAATGCTCTACCTGCTGTGCAATCACTCCAGCCCCACAGCATATCTTGTAAATTGGTGGAATCTGACCCAGACAGGGTGACTCCTACTATTCTTTATGTCTATTTTTGTATTTGTTTGTTTGGTGCTCAGGGCATACTCCTGGCTCTGTATTTAGGAATTACCCTTGGTGGGTTTGGGGGTCCATATGTGGTGTCGGAAATGGAACCTGGGTCAGCCACAAGCAAGGCAAGCATCTTCCCCATCAAACTATCTCTCTGAGACCTGTGGCCATCTTTTATCATTGGGAGTGAAGGGAGAAGACAGACGCTGGAGGCCTGCAGTGGGGAGAGTGGAATTCATAGCCAGAGCAGGTGTGCCTCATTGAATAACTGACCCCAGCCTTCTCTGCATACCCAGACCATTGCCATTTAATTTTACAGTCCTTCCGAGCAGAGCATGCTTTCTTCCCTTTTGTTTCTGGGCCCAAGCACTGGACTTGCTTTGGTCAGTAGAATGTGTGTGGAAATGCTGGGGAGGCAATTGCAAGCCAAAGTGTGAGGGGGTCGTACATGCTTCAGTTGCCTTCCCTCACTTCTGCCATCAGTAGACGAACCTTCCCAAGAAGGTATTTAGAGAGGACCTAGACTAAATACAATGAGCTTAACCTGCAGCAAGTATGCAAGCTGGGTTAACCTATGGCTTAAAACAGGTCTTCCTTCAGATCACTTAACCGTCAACAGTCCCTGCTGAGCAACATAAATTTCCTGCAGAAACAACATGTGTTTGCTATTATGATTTTGTGCTTTGTGTTGCAGAGCAATAATTGACTGACACACTAGTGCTCTAATTTGGGAAAGCACCTTATTTGTTTTTGGGATTTAATTTTACTTTTTGATCATCAAGATAAATAAAAGGTGAGACAACATTTTTTTGTGGTCTTACTTACATGGTCACATCTGAGACAAACTTCATTCATGCCATCAGCAACAGGGATTAATAATTTGATCCCAAATTTTCTCCCTGATACATTCACATCTGGCACAACTTCACAGCCTAAAAGAGAACAAAACTGAGTTTTGAGAACTGTAACCTATATGTCAGGTGTGCCAATGAAGACTTTGAACTTAAGTCCCCCTGATTTGGTTTTCTTCTTAAAAATAAAGGAGTGAGCAATGCCTTTCTTGCAAACCACAGTACCCAAAAGAAGAGAGAGAGAACAAGGGGGAATGCCCTGCCACAGAGGCAGAGTGGGACGGGGGGGTGGGGTGGGGGGAGTGGGAGGGATGCTGGGACCCGTGGTGGTGGAGGATGGGCACCGGTGGAGGGATGGGTACTTGATCATTGTATAACTGAAACCCAAGCACAAAAATTTGTAAGTTTATAACTACCTCATGGTGTTTCACTAATAAAAAAATTAAAAAAGTTTTTAAAAAATTTAAAAAAATAAAGGAGTGAGTCGAAAACACTAATTAAAAGATTACTAGGCAATACCACATGAACAATGAACATGAAAAGGATGAACAATTGCTTTGGCAATTTCCTTAAATTTATCAATTGAATTGAATTTTCAGGTTTATTTGACTACTCTAATCCATACTGATTATGAATATTAACTTGAAAACAAATCAAAGTAGAGGGAATCCTCTGATTGCCGCAAAGATAAGGGAACGGAATATACTGGTCAATGTTTCCTTTAACTGAGTTACCAGCAGTCATTATCATAAATTAAAGCATGTGATAAAGAAACACTGAGTTAAGCATAAATATTCTGGGGATTGAGAGACAGTACTAGCTTTGCACCTCTTCAAACTCCAGTTTGAATGTCTGGCACCACATATGGTCCCCCAAGCATGGCCAGGGGTCACTACTGGGCATAGCACTAGGAGCAGGGCCCTAGCATTGCCAGTGAGGTCCAAAGACCACAACCACAATCACAACGATGACAACAATCCCTAGCTGTTCTGAAATTCAGAAGATTTTTCAGCATCTCACCAGACCTGTGTATTATAATGATACAAATGAAGACCCCTTCAAAGACATAAAGTAACTGGGGAGAAGGGATTATAGGAAGGTTCTGTTTTGACATCAGTAATTTATAGTTTCCTTTGAAGCAAACATTGCTTCGAATAGGAGTCTTGGTTTTGATCTGCATGCTTGGCCAAGGGAAGCCGTGGAAAGTTGTAGGACTGCCTTACCTCTAAGATTTAGTTTCTCTATGGGTTCTCCTTGTTCAAGCTCCTTATTTTTAAAGTAGGCAATGGATGTGTCTTTAAAGACGAACCAATATTGTTTGAATGTTTTTAATATTAGCTTCTTGGGCCTGCAAATGAAAAATAGGGTTTAAACAACCATCCCAAACTGTAGAAAACATCATAGTGGGTTATGAGGTCCTAGAGCAACGTTCCCTAGTGTTCTACATCTGCCGACTGACACCTAGATTCAGACCTTCCCAAGACAAGGCAGTTATAACCAAGGCAGTGACCAAAAGTGTTCAAACTTTCAGGCATGGGTCTGAGGACTGGTAGTTGAAATCCTCTTTTCTAGAGGCTCTCTCTATCAACGTCGAATTTATTTACTGTTAACACGCTAATTTACAAAGTGATTGATTCATGGTTGAGTTTTAGAGATTCTATATTCTAGCACCAGTCCCACCACAGGTGTCAACTTCCCTCAACTTGCCTCCACCCTTGCCCTCAGTTTCCCTCCCCCCAGCCCCACCTGCTTTGTTTTTAACAATGATTTTCCAATAGCAAGCCTGTTTCTAAAAACTACAAATAGGGTTCTGATAAGTAACAGAGAAGTTCAATGCAGACACTCAGGAGTGAGACCACCCAGACCACACTTTGGTCATGCTTCTGCCTACACACATGGCCCCAGAAGGACACCACAGTCTCAGCAGCCTGGCATGAGCTACCTCTGTGTGATGCTGAGTGGTGAGTTTTCCAACTGACGGCTTTTGTGAGGCTAGAAAGAAGAAAACACTCCACACAGCACAAATAGTCAATACATTATTTTGGTTGTATATGTGAGAGATATTATGGATCTGGTGATATTAGTCATTTCAGTCTATTTCTTTGTATAAGGGCTGGAGCGATAGCACAGCGGTAGGGTGTTTGCCTTGCATGCAGCCAACATGGCCGACCCGAGTTCGATTCCTCCGCCGCTCTCGGAGAGCCTGGCAAGCTACTAAGAGTATCTCGCCTGCACAGCAGGGTCTGGCAAGCTCCCCGTGATGTATTCGATATGCCAAAACAGTAACAACAAAGTCTCCAATGGTGACGTTACTGGGCCCGCTCGAGCAAATCGATGATCAACAGGAGGGCCTTTACTTTACTTTACTCTTTGCATAAAAGTCATCTAGGGGCTATAGAGATAGGACAGGGGTTGAGACATTTGCCACTGATCCTCATTTGATCCCTGGCACTACCAGTTGAGCACTACCAGGAACAATCCCTGGGCACAGAGCCAGGAGCAAGTCCTGAACACAGTCAGGTGTATCCCCAAACACCACTCCCCTAAGAAAATAATACCGGTCTATATAGACAATCTTAATGTTATCAGACGTAAAACAGATAAAAGTGAGAAATCTTTAGGCTGTCAGTACTTCTTGATCTTTATGAGAAACCACTGATATTTGAAGAGACATTATTCCACAGAAAATGTGGGTGAGGTGGGGTATGGTGTCCATAGAGATGGCTAAGAAGTACATGAAGAAGATGCCTGAGCATCACCAACCACCAGGGAAATGCAATTTGAAACCACTTGTCTCACACATCAGTTAGAATGGCTAGCACCAACTCCGCCCCCTAGAAACAGCAAGATAAAGGGGCTCTTTTGCATGGAGGAAGCTTCTTGGAGATCCCCAAGCAGGGCTTCAGCTCTGAGTGGGACCATCAGGTGCAGAGGAAGATGTAGACGCCTGGAACTTAAGTAAGCTTCCTTAGGTGGCTTCCAAGAGTTGGAGACACACTAGACTAACACATTGATGCAAGCACCTGCCACTGATGGCTCACACTTGGTTATGGCTTAATTAGCATGAATTTGCAGCATCAGGTTGAAAACACACTGATTCTCACAGTGCACGATACACAGAATAACTCTGTTTCCAAGTGTTACAGGTGCACAGATAATACTGTGTGTGTCCTAATCAGCCAGTGTCATTATTGGTGACACTTGTGATGGAAACATTTCCAGAGTTTTCAAAAACCTCTCATTGGAAATAACAAAATCATGCGACTTGCCACAGCATGGATGGAACTTGAGGATATCATGCTGAGTGAAGCCAGCCAAAGGGAAAGGAACAGATACAGAATGATGTCTCTCATATGTGTGACTTAAAGATACTATCAGGATAGCAACAAAGGGCCAAATACAACATGGTGGGCGAAATGATCCACACTACTGAGCCTGGTGGCTAGGGGTGGGGGGATTTAAAAGGAGGGAACTTGGGGACCTTGGGAGGAAGGGAGGTACACTGGTGATGGTTGCACCAAAACCATCATTAACAGTATTATAAGTCACAGAACTTCAATCAATTAAAAATAAAACTCTCTCTGGAGTCAGAGAGATTGCCCAAAGTGAAGGTATGATTTGCATGTGGGAGCTGGGGGTCAATCCTCAGCACCCCAGTTTCCCTCAGGGCCATCATGAGGGACTCTTGAGCACACTGGGAGTAGCTCCCACACACCACTGCCTGTAGCCCCCAAACGAAACAAGTTCTCTTTAAGATTAAGGGTATTGGAGCTGGGGAGACAGGACTCAGGGGCACAAATGCAGGAACCAGAGTTTAATCCCAAGCCCTGTTTAGCTGTGTGTGGCTCTTGTGTCCCGGCTGAACCTAAGGAATGCTGAATCTCTGGATCCTAGCATCGAACCATCCTACCCAGCTGACAAGTATTACTGGAAGTGGCCCTGGGGCCTCTGAGCATTGCTTTGGGGCCCGAGGTATCCTCTAAAAAAGTAAGTGCATTTGTTCACTTGAAAGCAACTGGAGGCTTCTAATCATGAGTGCTCGACACCATAGCGTGGTCTCAAGTCTGGAATGCTTGTTTAAGACAAAACTAGAGGCTGGGGATACAATTCAAATCTTGAATGTATGAGGCCCCGAGTTTGATACCTGGCATCATATAAAAGGCAACAATAAAAAGTCAAACCAAAAACCACTGGCCTGGCAGAATCATGTAGTGGTTTATAGCATTGGCCTTGCAAGTGTAGGGTTATGAGTTCAAATCCCTGAATCCCACATAAGCCAGGTGGGATCTTGGCAGCTCTTCTGCCTGTGTTTCTAGCCAGGTGCAGTATCCAACTGCACTAAAGTCAGGTGGGTGTGACCCTGGCAAGCACTGTAACTAGACTTTATTTTTTTTTATGTCTAGTTAATTATGAATAGGAACTAGAATACGTTCATAGTTACTTATGAACCAGGATATTTATGAACAGGAAACTTCTGCCTTTGGTGAGAGCTTCTCTCCTAGCTCCCTGCCTTATGTAGACTCTAAATCTTTATTTCCTCTCCTTGTATGAGGATTAGAATTCTAGACCCCAAGATGTGGCTCAGTGGTGGAGAGCATACCTTCCCCCTGTGAGGATTGGGTTCAACTTCTGCTACTGTAACCATAGATTGCCTAACCCTTGAGAATCTCTCTCTCTCTCTCTCTCCTCTCTCTCTCTCTCTCTCTCTCTCTCTCCCCCCCCTTCTCTCTCTCTGTGTCATTTTTTGGCAACATATGGCAGTGCTCAGGGATTACTCCTGCTCTCCACTCAGGAATTATTTCTGGTGGTGCTCAGGGGGCCATTTAGGGTGCTGGGGATCGAACCCGTGTTGGCTGTGTGCAAGGCAAACATCCTACCCACTGTACTATTGCTCTGGCTCGCTCCAGCTTTGCAAATCTCTATCCATAGCTCCCATCCTCTGTGCAGCGGAAACTTCATTTCTAACTAGTTCCCCTCTTTGTTTCCTACAATCTGAAATCTCTCAGTCCCCATTTAGGTCTTATTTATAGAATAAGAGTCAGAGGTTCTGGGGCCAGGGCATACAAGACATACAGTCCTGACTCCCAGACTATTTCCCCAGTCCCTATAAAGGATATTTCCAGTGGGCTAGAGAGAGAATGCAACAGACCGACTACATAGTTCGCATGTGGGAGGCTTGGGTTTGAGCCCCAGCACCACATGGTCTCTCAAGCACTGTTGGGAGGAACCAGGAGCACAGAGTCACAAATAGGACTTGAGCATTATGGGGTGTGGCCTCCTTCCAAAAAAGATATTTTGTAGATTTAGATTTTTAGATTATTCCATTTTTTGTAGCGCTGATTATTGCAGCATGTTATTACAATTACAAAAGTGACAGAAATTAAACTAATGCCTCTATTGTTCCAGCCCATATCTTCCCATTCCACCTGAAAATCAACCAACCAACCAAACAACCAACCAACCAACCAACCAACCAACCAACCAACCAACCCCAGTAGATACTCAATGATAAGTACCTTGGGGAGATTGTTTCTGGTTTAATAACTAAACCATTGTTCATTCTTTCTGACTTTTTCTCTGTATCATGTACTATCAAAAGCAACTGTGTTTCTTTTCAAGTCAACTCACCCAGCCAAGAGTTGGTTTGTTAGGAAAAGTCAACAAACCATAAAGTGCCTTAATCAAGTCATAAAACTTCAAAGGAGCCTTGTTCCTTTCATTCTCACACCCCTTGGCACTGTGACAGTCCTTTCTTTCTACTAAACAGAGAAACAATCTTCCTTGGCTTTCAGTAGTTTCAGATTGACCTGAGTTAAGTGTACTAGCAACACTTGAACAGGATAAGGTAGATAAGCTAAGAAGAAACCCTCCAAGTCTAGGATCAAAGGACAAGAGGTAAGTGACAGTTAAACTGTGAAAGAGCTGCCACATGGCATCAAGAATCCTGAGTTTCCTAGATGAACTTTCAGAGAAGCTCAGCCTGGCATATTCATTCATCACTGAGGATGAACCATTTCTTTTTGTTTTTCTTTTTCTGCCACACTGGCTATGTTCAGGGCCTTCTCCCATCTCGAGGATCACTCCTGGGGATGCTCAAATGACCATATGGTGGTGACCAGTAATCAAACCAGGGTCAGTTGCATGCGAGACACTTACCTTAATCCCTGTACTATCATCTCTCTAGCCCAGGTGCTTGAGCGTAGACTATGAGCCAGACACCTGCTAACTGCTTTACATGTATTAATTAATTTAATCCTTCCCAAGAGGTGGTATCAATTCATTTTGTAGATTAAGAAACTGAGGTTCAGAAATATAAGGACATTACCCAAGGTCACCCAGTTAGTATATGCCATGGAGCTACGATTCGATTCATTGTCAGATCTCAAAGCTCATACTTCACCTTGGAACCAGGAATGTGTCTAAGGGATGTGCAGTGGAAACTCCTTGAGTCTTTTTACCTGCAAAGATTCTTTCCTCTTTCAGGGTGGCTTACCTAAATAATCTGAGATTATCTGCAAGTGTAGGAATGTCAGTAATGTCCTCCTAAAGAAAAAAACAGAAAATGTTCAAACTGTTGTCATTTGTGAGGGGCAGTTGGTTACATCTGAGCTTATTAAAATGAGATAAAACTGGGCGGGAGAGATAGCACAGCAGGTAAAGTGCTTGCCTTACTCAGTCTACCCTGGTTCAGTCTATGAATGCAGAATCACGAGTAAGCCCTGATGGGTGTGGACCAAAACCAAACAAACAAAAGATATAAAACCAAGCTCCCCAGTCACCACTAGCCACATGTCTAGTTGGCAGAGTTGTCTTTATTGATTGTGATGTGATGCTTTTTTTTTTAGTTTTTGGGTCACACTCAGCAATGCTCAGGGCTTACTTCAGGCTCTGTGCACAGGAAGTACTCCTGGCAGTTTTCAGAGGACTAATTATGGGTTGCTAGAATCAAACAAGAGTCAATCATTTGCGAAGCAAACACCCTATCCATTGTAGTATTGCTTCAGTCTCTAATTGAAGCATTTTTTGAATTGAGTTATCATGTGTCCAGGTGTATCTATGCATTATATATTACACAAATGAAAAAGAGATGAAAACAATTGATCAAGCACTCCCTGTGTCTACTGAGTTACAATTTAAAAAAATTTTGGGGTGACACCTGGTGAACCTCAGGGGTTACTCCTGGCTCTGCACTCAGTAATTACTCCTCGTAGTGCTCAGGGGACCATATGAGAATATGAAATGCTGGGGATTGAGTCTCGGTCGGCCACATACAAGGCAGATGCCGAACCTGCTGTACAATCACTCTGGCTCCATAAGTTCAACCTTTTGGTGAAGAAACTCTGATCATTTATGCTCAAGCAAAACTTAACACAACATTTACTGCAGAGTGAGGAACTTTTGCTGATCCCTTTTCTCTAATTACAGTCGCAAAAGGAATCTGGTTTAAAGTAAATTCTGCAGTGTTGGTTGGTGTTTGTTGAGTACAGTCTCTAAATATTCATGGGGACTGCTGGGGAGATCTCTCCAAGAGCTAGAGTGCATGCTTCCAACCTGCAGGTCCAGTTTTGATCCCCGGTACTGCATGGTCTCTTGATGGCAGTGGGTGTGGCCCCTGAGTACAGAGCTGAGAGGAGCCCCCAAACACCACTGGGTGTGGCGAAAACTCTACACCCCCACAACTATATTTTGAGGAAGGAAGGAGGGAAATAAGAAGAGAATCACTCTCTCATTGTGTCAATTTAGGGGAGGAAGAGAGTTTTTTTTTTCTTTTTGGGTCACACTCAGCGATGCACAGGCGTTACTCCTGGCTCTGCACTCAGGAATTACTCCTGGTGGTGCTCAGGGGACTATATGGGATGCTGGGAATTGAACCCAGGCCAGCTGCGTACAAGGCAAACACCCTACCCACTGTGCTATCATTCCAGCCCAGGTAAGAGGGTTTTGGACCTTCACAGAGTCTTGGGATTAAGTTTGAATGGGGTATCTGGTTTTATATGACATTCTTTTCCTTCTATAAGGAATTTAATCATAAGAGAATACATACTAAATTATTCAGAACATAGTGACCCATTTTTATCTACTACTATTCATACAGTACTTTTTAAAATTCAATAAAGGGTGGTACCCAGAGAATGAGTCAAACAGGAGGGGCATTCAAGTGATAAAGCCCACGTTCAGTCACATTTCATAGATAAGGAATAAAGGATAATGTAATAGTTATATTCCTTTAGGTGTTATGTGAGAGTTTTCATGTATTTCTCAAATCAAAGGGCTAAGAATATTTCACAATGTCCCAGAAAAAGAGCCTCACTTCAACCAACTGTGCCCAGTTTGAAGATGTACGACCTGGGGCATTGTAAAACATTGATTCTTTAAAGTTTCTTTGTTTTCATGGCTACATCAAGCAATGAACTGGTTCCTTTTTGTTTTGGGGGCCACATCTGGTGGTGCACAGGGGCTACTACTGGCTTTGTGCTCAAGGGTCACTGCCAGCATACTCAGGGGACTCATAGGAATTGAACTGAAATTGACTGCAGGCAAGGTAAGTGCTTTAAATTCTGATCTGACTTAGTTCCTCCCTCCCTCCCTCCCTCCCTCCCTCCCTCCCTCCCTCCCTCCCTCCCTCTGTGCCCCCACAACTATATTTTGAGGAAGGGAGGAGGGAAATGTTTGTATATAAGAAGAGAATCACTTTCTCATTGTGTTCGTTTAGGGGAGAAAGTAGGTAAGAGGGTCAAGGTGTATCTATGGTTGTATCTATGGTCCCTCCTGCCCTCCATTCCCTCCCTCCCTCCCTCCCTCCCTCCCTCCCTCCCTTCCTTCCTTCCTTCCTTCCTTCCTTCCTTCCTTCCTTCATCCCTTCTTTCACCAAGCAGTGCTCAGGAGGCCTGAGGTCCCTATCAGTAATTATTAGTCAGTCTGACCTTATTAAATCTGTTTCAATGTTTGGGCCTGAGGATGCAGTACTATGGATACTCAGGTTACCCCAGTAGTGCTGGGGTGTCTTCAGGGATGCACCCAGCAGTGCTCAGGAGACCATGTGATGCCAGAATTTGAACCCAGATCAGATGCACCTGGCATGTGCATTAACCACTGTACTATCTCTCAGTCTTGGTACTTCTTTCTTAAGGGACCCATTCTATACTAGAAAAATTGAGTCCTTAGTAGTCTTTCCTTCACACCATACAACTTATCCTAGAAGCAACACACTAAGAATGATTTTTTTGGGGGTGGGGGGTGGGGGGATCATACTTGACTCTGCTCAGGGCTTCCTCCTGGTTGTGCACTCAGGGCTTGCTCCCGATAGGCTCACAGAACTATATGTGGTGCCAGGGATAAAATCCTGGTTAACTATGTGCAAGGCAAGTGTCTTTCCTACTGTAATATCTCTTCAGTCCAAGAATGATCATTTGTAATAATGGAAACATTTTACAGATCTAACCAGCTCTTTCTAGGGTTAAATTTGTCAGATGAAGGGAGTATTTTCCTTTTCTACAAATTATGTAAAAATTTCTCTTTCTCTCTCTCTCTTTCTCCCTTTCTCTAAATCTTTGGTCACAACAGTGATGCTCAGGAGTTACTCCTGATTCTGTGCTCAGGAATCACTCCTGACAAGCTAGGAGGATCATATGCAATACCAGGGATTGAAACTAGGCCAGCTGCATGTAAGGTAAATGCCCTACCCACTGTACTATCTCTCTGGCCCTGAAAAATTCTCTTTATTATTAATTTTTAAAGAAGCTCTTGTCTGTCTGTCTGGAGAACTGAATAATAATCCCGAGTGAGAGGATATGTTCTTACCAAAGCACTGTCTGCTTTGCCGCCTTCCAGGGCCACTTCCAAGTTAGAGAGCGCCGCTTCCACTTCATCAACCTCAGGCTCTTGGGTGAAATCCTGTGTTTCTGCTGACATGGACAGTTTGCTGATGTGGTACTACAATGAAACAGGTTTTAGAAACAGCATAAACACACACGAATCAGCCCAGTGTTTTGCAACCCGTAGGTTCTCAGGAAATTCCAAAGGCAGGACCACAGGTGAAAACTGTGTAAGTGGGGGACCACTGTCTGAGACTGGGGAGACTAGCAGGATAAGGTTGCAAAGTGGGTGGAGAAAGTCTGTTTTAGCTATTTCTTCTGTGAAAATATTTTCCTGTAATATCAACCTTCTCCCTGAAGAAGATATCCTGCCTGAGAGGAAGCACTTTAGTTGGACACGTTTGGAGACTCAGGGTTAGTTAAGCTCAAACTCAGTTCTGCTCATTCCCAGGTTGAGCTTGCCATGGGAAGAGAAAAGAAGCAAGACAGGGAATATGTGATAATCACTGCAATAAGATTCAACTACAAAATAAATATTTGTTGTTGTTTTGGGCCCACACCTGGTGGTGTTCAGGGCTTATTCCTGGCTCTTCACTCAGGAATTACTCCTGGTGGTGCTCAGGGGACCATATGGGATGCTGGGGATTCAACCCGGGTCAACCACATGCAAGGCAAACACCCTACCCTCTATATAATTGTTCTGGCCATGTGAGATGCTTTTTTTTAATTTTTGGGTCACACCCATTGTTGCTATAGGGGTTACTCCTGGCTCATGCACTCAGGAATTACTCCTGCCGGTGCTCAGGGGACCATATGGGATGCTGGGAAACCAACCAGGGTCAGCCATGTGCAAGGCAAATGCCTTACCTGCTGTGCTATAGCTCCAGCTCCTGAGATGCATTTCGATGGAAATGTTTTTCCTCTGCTTAGTTTTTATTTTGTTCTTTCAATTTTTTAAAAATATTCGTTTTGGTGTTTTGGGCTACAACTGGCAGTTCTCAGGTTTTGCTCCTGGCTCTGCACTCAGGGTTCATCCTGGCAGGGCTTGGAGGTCCATCCGGGATGCTGGGGATTGAACCTGGGTTGGCTTCATGCAAGGTGAGCACCCCACCTAGGACACCATCTCTCTGCCCCCTGCTTAGTTCTTTTAAACACAAGGCAGTAGGAAGGAAACAAAATAGGTGGTTCTGTTTCCTGGTGGAGTAGAGGCAATGAAGACCATGTACCTGCAGTGCCGCAAAGATCAGCATCTCTTCTTCTGTGCAGTCAATTTCTTCCAAGACAATGGCCCACCGTGCTTGCTCATAGAGTTGGTTTATTCGGACGGCGTCATACTAGGGAAAGAAACAGTGTGCAGTGTGCATAGGTGAGAGGGGGGTGGAATTCTATTTCTCACTGCAAAAATTCTGGAATAACAGAAGTCCTTCCCTGTTCCTCAGTCAACTTGGGATCAGGGAACGAAAAGAAACACTTGATCTTTCCAACTGCCCCAGTGCATTTTGCTTACAAATTCAGAACTTCCTTTTGCAAAATATTTCTAGGGTCTCTTTAAGGAGCCATGCTAACTCATCTTAGAGTCAATTATTTTCTCTTTTATTTTGAGGGGAAGGGTGGGCCACATTAGACAGTGCTCAGGAGCTTTTCCTGGTTCTGTGCTCAGGGGTGACCCCTGGTAGTACCCGAGGAACCATACATGGAGCCTGGGATTTGAACTGGGGTCCCCTGCATGCATGCCAAGTGCTTTAAGCTCTGTACTATTTCTATGGTCTCCTCCCCTCTCTTTGAGCACACTTCTATGGATAGGAAAAAATAGTAGTGGTTTATGAACAGAAGTATAAAGAAGAGCCCATTCTGAGCTCAAACTCAGCACCATCTTAATAAAAAACTGTAGAAATTGTTTGTTCTCTTTGTTTAGGGGCTGTTGGACCACACCCAGCAGTGCTCAGGGCTTGTCCCTGACAGTGCTCAGGAGTGACTCCTGGTGATGCTTGGGAGCATATATGGTGCTGGGGATTTGAACTGGGGTCATCCTCGTGGAAGGCAAACTCCGGCATTCCTGTACTATCTTTCAGTCCTATAAGTTTGACTTTTTATTCTACTTATTTTTTTCTAAAACTTTTTTTTTTTTAATATTGAGTCACTGTGAACTCCAGTTACAAAGCTTTGATGTTTGAGTTCCAGTCATACAATGATTGAACACCTACCCCCTCCACCAGTGCACATTTTCCAATGCCAATGTCCCCAGTAAGTTTGACTTTTTGAAATGAGCTTTGGGACTGAAATGATAGCACAGTCGGTAAGGTGTTTACTTGGCATGCAGCTGACCTGAGTTTGATCCCTGGCATCTGATATGGTCCCTCAAGGACTACCAGGAATGATTATTTCTAAGTGTAGTGCGAGGAGTAACCCCTGAACATTTCTGGGTGTGCACCCCCCCAAAAAAGAGGAGCGCTGACTGTGGTACGGTATGTCGAACATAAAATTCGCTTTCTCCTTCTCGTTCTCGGCACCCCCCCTCATCCCCCCACCTCCCCTGCAAGGTGTGCAGTCCGGGGCTGTGAGGTCTGCTCACATTGTTGCATGATCATGGCCAGCATCTTGCTCTAGAACTTTGCTTCTTGCAAAACCCAAAGTCTGTATTTATAAAATAACTTCTATGTCACTGTCACTGTCCTCTCATTGTTCATCGATTTGCTCGAGTGGGTCCAGTAATGTCTCCATTTTGACAACTGTTACTGTGTTTGGCATATCGAATACGTCACGGGTAGCTTGCCAGGCTTTGCCGTGGGGGCGAGAGACTCTTGGTAGCTTGCCGGGCTCTGCGAGAGGGGCGGAGGAATCGAACTCAGGCCGGCCATGTTGGCTGCTTGTAAGGCAAATGCGCTACCCTCTGTGCTATCACTCCAGCCCAACTTCTAGGCTTAATTGATTTTTATTTTACAGTGAGCATCTTTTTACCAGTATGTTCAAGAAAATGTGGAGGAGGAATAGAAAGATGGACTTGATCAGAAGTGGATTAGCATTAGTTTATTTTTCCTTCCACTGTAACCTTATGCATACTAAGGAAAAATAGGATAGGGATTATGAAAACTGGAAGTAAACTGAGACCAGCAAATATTGCTTCTGTAAGATAAGTGGACAAGGTGACCAGTAGGTAGAAATTTCATGTTTCTCAGACATTTGAAAGCTGCTGGCAAAAAAAGGCACATGCATAGCCAAGTGAGGGGATATTAAGAAGATCGAATAATGGAAAATGTAGAGAAAATCTGTTCTTATTTTGTGAACTCAGTTTTTCCCTTTTGTTTTGTTATTGGATTGTGCTCAGGGCTTACTCCTGGCTCTGCACTTAGGAATCGTTCCTAGGGGAGTTTGGAGGACCATATGGGGTGTTGGGGGAATTAATCCAGTTTGGCCACATGCAAAGCAAATGCTCTACCTGTTATACTATTGCTGTGATCTCAAGGGTAATTTTTTTTAGTTTTTTAGCCACATATGGCTGTGGTCAGGGCTTACTCCTGGCTCTGCACTTAGAGATCATTCCTAGGGGGGCTTGGGGGACCATAGACTTAATCCAGGTTGGCCACATACAAGGCAAATGCTCTACCTGCTATACTATTGCTCTGAACTCAAAGGCAATTTTTTAGATTTTGGCCACACCTGGCTGTGCTTAGGGTTTACTCCTAGCTCTGTGCTCAGGGATCACTCCTGGAGGGTCTCAGGGGACCAACCATGGTGCTGGAGATTGAACCCAGGTTGGCCATATGCAAGGCAAATGCCCTACCTTCTGTACTATCATCCCAGCCCATATTTTGTTAACTCTTGTCAAGTGTCAAGGGACTACCTCAGGAGGTGGTTCCCAAATCATCCAGCAGAAAACACAACACACCGGAGAGTATTCATAGCAGCACCCCTCTGCTCTGTCCTCATCATAGCCCTCAAATTGGAAATTACCTAATGTCCCTGAGTGGGCAAGTGGAGAAATGAAACATGGCCCACCCAGCCAGTGAGCTACACTTCATCAGGAAGATCACAGCACTGATCCTGCAGCAGCGCAAAATAAGCCTCAAACAACTTCAAGCTGGGCAAATAGAACAGAGCATGAGAGACTGCATACTGTAAGATGCCTCCTCTATGACATTTCTCCAAAAGGCAAATGTTAAGAGAGAGAGCACAGACCAGCAGTTTTATGAATCTGGAACTGGAGGCAGGACTGACTGGGTCTGAGGAAACTCTTGGGTGATAAAGTATTTTCAAATCGGATTGTTTTGAGAGCTGTAAAACCATGAGAAATGTATTAAGAATATTATACTGTGCACTTAGAACAGGTGAATATGGGGGCCTGCAAGTTACACTGCAAGCAAAAGACATGACAGCTGAATAGGGGCTATGAAAACTGGAAGTAAACTGAGACCAGCCAACATTGTTTCTGTAAGATACGTGAGAAAGGTCACCAGTGGTGCAGAAAAGCAAGTGAATCGTGCACACAAAATACACCAGAAGACAAGCAATTGACCCCAGCCTCACTGCTGCTCCTGCTTTAACTCACAGGTTTTTTTTTCTTTCTTTTTGGGTCACACCCAGCGATACTCAGGGGTTACTCCTGGCTCTACACTCAGGAATTACTCTTGGCGGTACTCGAGGGACCATATGGGATGCTGGGGATTGAACCCAGGTTGGCCGCGTGTAAGGTAAACATCCTACCTGCTGTACTATCACTCCGGCCCCTTTAACTCGCAGTTTTAAGAAAAAAAAATCCAAGTAATCTGTGCAGCTGTTGAAATTTGAATTGAGCTGACAAACTATTGCGTCTATTTGTCTGTCTCTTTGTCTGCTGGTGAGTCATGGTCATGAATGCCCTTTTTAAAAATTTTGTTTTAGTTTTTGGTCCACGGCCTGTGGTACTTAGGAGTTATTCCTGCCTCCGCACTCAGGAATTACTCGGAGTGAGCTCAGGTGACCATATGAGATGGCAGGGACTGAACCCGCATCAGCCACATGCAAGGCAAATGCTCGACTCACTGTACTATCCCTCTGGCCCTGGCTGTTCACACTCTTAACTCTGGAGGATTTTGAGTGAGAGTAAGTGAAGTTGTCCAGTAAAGCTTTTCTCTCTTAGACACAGTCATTGCATCTTTAAAACATGTAAGAGTTTCCACGCTTAAACACACCTCTTTTCCAAGTCAAAGCAAATAGTTCTTTTTTTTGGGGGCAGGGGGCGTCACATTTGGTGATGCACAGGGCTTACTCCTGGAGGTGCTCAGGGGACCATATGGGATGCTGGGAATCAAACCTGGGTTGGCCGTGTGCAAGGCAAATGCCTAAACCACTGTGCTATTGCTCTAGCCCCATAAAACAGTTCTTTGAAAGACTATTGGTAGGGCAGAAGTCACCTACATTTATAAATGGATGCTGGCAAAAAATCTAATGGAGAACAAAGATGTGACGAACAGCTACAGATGAAGCCCAGTGCTCATAGAGGGCCCAGGGCTCTTTGGGAGACCAGCAGAACTTCTCTCTGTAGACTTGCTCACATTCCTACTGAGGACCTGGAACCTCACCCTGGTATTTCCCTAGTAGCTGAGGGACAACTTTCAGTAGGGTTCAGGTCTTTTGTTAAAACAGATGTGTCAAAAAAGGGAAAAAAAAACTATGAAAATGACAGTTGGAAATGATCACTCTGGACAAGAGCTGAGTGCTGAAAGGAGATAAAGGTTATAAATGACAATCTTTCAGCACCTATATTGAAAAATGCATTGCCCAAAAGAAAAGAGAGAGAAGCAGCTTGTGTGAGAGAGACAGAGAGAGAGAGAGAGAGAGAGAGAGAGAGAGAGAGAAGGAGTGAAGGAGGGAGGGAGGGAGAGAGAAGAGGTATCTGCCATAGAGTCAGGCTGGGATGAGTGGGGTGGTGAGGGAAAGTGGGGGACAAGGGTGGTGGGAAAGGTACCTTGGTAAAGGGAAGGGTGTTGGAACATTGTATGACAGAAAACCCATCATAAACAACTTTGTAACTGTGTATCTCATAGTGATTCAAAGAAAAAAGAAAAAAAGAAAGAAAGAAAACCAAACGAGGCCAAAGAGATAGTATGCAGGCTAAGGCACTTGCTTTTCATACGACTGACCTAGGTTCATTCCCTGGCATCTCATATGGTCTCCTGAGTGTGGGGAGGAGTAATTCTTGAGGGAAGAGCCAGGAGTAACCCCTGAGCATTGAAATGTGTGATACAAACAAAAAAAAGTGCCTTTTTCTCTATAAGTGTTTATAAAACACTACAAACTACTGTAATTATAATCATACAATTTAAAAGATTCATATTGCTTTGAATATTTTTGTAGAGGAGCAACAGCAAAAGCAGTGAGGATCTTCCTTTTGCATAGATTCAAAAGGGACACAAAAATGTATATTCCAAAGTGAGCCACCCTCCCCTTCTTGTTGCTCATGAGACAGTGTCATTTTCCTTTGGATCATCTTAGATCTTGTTCTTTTTCATTCAATAATATCATCACAAGTATGTTCTACATAAAAAGAAAGTAGTTTCACTATTCTTCCTAATTTTAACACTATCTGGACAGATTATAATGCACTTAACTAATTCCCTGTGATGAATGTTTAGGTGGTTTCCAATCGCCTCCTAAAACAAATAATGTAGCCTTTGTTCTTAGGGATAGAGATAGCAACTCACACATGTGAGCATAGCTGGGATAAGTACCATGGGGTGGATTTGCTTACTCAAAGGTATTTAGAATTGTAATTCTGATAGATATTGCCAAAATGCCTTCCAAGGAGGCTAAATGACTTGTACTTTGGCTCCAAACAGTGCATGAGAAAGCTGATTTGCCCCAATTCTCACTAGAACAATAGAAGGCTAAGAGCCATGTTGCTCTCTTTCTCTTTCTATGAACTATTTTCTCACATCCTTTTTATTGTTGACTTTTATTTTTTGTTTTCTTTTGGGGTCACACCTGGCAGTGGTCAGGGCTTATTTCCGGCTTGGTGCTCAGGGATCGATGCTGGTGGGTTTGAGGGACCCAGGGTGCCAGGGCTCAAACCTGGGTCAGCTCTGTGCAAGACAAGTGCCCTACCTGTTATACTATATCTCCAGTCCAAAGAATTTTTGCATTTGCAAAATTTAAAAAATATTTTTATTTTTATAATTAAAAATATATTTAAGACTCTTATACATTTTAGTTTTCTCTCCCCACTTTTTAGACAGATACCGAACTATATCCATGTACACTTGATGTTTATATTGTTAATGTGTTATGTCTGGAATCTTTGGCTTTTTGGGTCACACCTGGCGATGCACAGCAGTTAATCCTGGCTTATGCACTCAGGAATTACTCCTGGCAGTGCTCAGGGGACCATATGGGATGCTGGGAATTGAACCCGGGTTGGCTGTGTGCAAGGCAAATGCCCTCCCCACTATACTATCGCTCCAGCCCTTATGTCTGGAATCTTTGAATAGGAAGCCACTAATATATCCCTGATAAAATTTTCAGGGGTGGATAATTGACTTTTCTCCCTCCCTCCCCCTCAGTCCCTCCGTCCATCTGTCCGTCCGTCCATCCGTCCGTCCGTCCATCCCTCCCTCTTCCTCCCTCCCTCCCTCCCTCCCTCCCTCCCTCCCTCCCTCCCTCCCTCCCTTCCTTCCTTCCTTCCTTCCTTCCTTCCTTCCTTCCTTCCTTCCCTCCCTTCTTCCCTCCCTTCTTCCCTCCCTCCCTCCTTCCTTCCTCCCTTCCTTCCTGGCTCTGCCTTCAAGAATTACTCTTCTCCACACTCAGGAGACCATATGAGATGCCAAGGAATGAACCCAGGTCAGTCACATGCAAAGCAAGTGCCTTAGCCTGCATACCATTTCTTCCGCCTCATTTGTTTTTCTTTCTTTCTTTTTTTCTTTTTTCTTTGAATCTCCATGAGATACACAGTTACAAAGTTGTTTATTATGAGGTTTCAGTCATACAATGTTCCAACACCCATCCCTTTACCTTTCCCACCACCCTTGTTCCACACTTTCCCTCCCCCTACCATTCAAACAATTCAAACAGCCTGCCTCTATGGCAGATAACTCTCTCTCTCTCTCCCTCCCTCCCTCCGTGTCTCATACACACAAGCTGCTTCTCTCTCTCTCTCTCTCTCTCTCTCTCTCTCTCTCTCTCTCTCTCTCTTTCTTTTGGGCATTGCAGTTTTCAATATAGGTACTGAAAGATTGTCATGTATAACTTTTACCTCCTTTCAGCACTCAGTTCTTGTCCAGAGTGATCACTTCCAAGTATCATTGTCATAGTTTTTTCTTTTTTTGACACATTGGTTTTAACGAGAGACCTGAACCCTACTGAAAGTTGTCCCTCAGCTACTAGGGAAACATCAGGGTGAAGTTCCAGGTCCTCAGTGGGAATGTGAGCAAGTCTACAGAGAGAAGCTCTGCTGGTCTCCCAGAGAGCCCTGGGCCCTCCATGAGCACTGGGCTTCATCTGTGGTTGTTTGTCACATCTTTGTTCTCTGTCAGTTTTTTGTCAGCATCCATTTGTAAATGTAGGTGACTTCTGCCCTACCAATAGTCTTTCAAAGAACTGTTTGACTTGACTTGGAAAAGGGCCAAGGTTCAGGGCTGGGTTCTTGGACTTAGGGGTCAAACACAGGGGAATCATGACTTGGTTGAGGAGAATCTACATCTCTATTTGCACCCAATTCTAGTGGAAATTGAGCATTATCTTCAATAATTAATGTAGGCAAGAAGTTACCCTAATACAGAGGACATGTGGATTGGTAACTACTGAATCACAGATTTTCCCCTATTGTATCCTTGTTGCTATTTTCAAAGGATGCCAACAAGTTCCATTTTGTTAAAAACCATGTAGTTATGATGGGAGAAGCATGCTGAAAGTAGACTATAGACCAAACATGATTGCCACTCAATGCCTCTTTTGCAAACCACAACACCCGAAAGGAGAGAGAGAACAAAAGGGAATGCCCTGCCACAGAGGCAGGGTGGGGTGGGGGGTTGGGGGGTGGGAGGGATACTGGGACTGGTGGTGGTGGAAAATGGGCACTGGTGGAGGGATGGGTATTTAATCATTGTATAATTGAAACCCAAGCACAAAATTTGTAAGTCTACAACTGTACCTCATGGTTTTTCACTAATAAAAATTAAATAAAAAAGTATGTAGTTATGAGCCATATGACTAGATCTTATTATCAATTTAGTAAACACAAATACTATTCTACACATTTTGAAAAAGATTTTGGTAATTATAAGTTCCACAGAATGGCTTCATTCAGTATTACTGTAAATAAACAACAGGGCCACTCTGAGTAGAAAGGTTGGGACCAAACTAGTGACTTTGCAAATAGAATATGCCCAGAATTGTATGGCTTATGTCTAATCTAATTTCAGAAAAAAAGTGGAGGTGGTTTAAAGGAATGGTTAGTGCACAAGATAACCTAAGTTAAACTAGGAATGCAGCAAGAAAAGAAGAAAGTTGAATTAGGAATGAAACTTAATATGAAATCATAGGAAATGTATGAATTTGAACCTAGTAAAGCCATACAGAAAAAAATATCTGGAGCACAACATAATTCACAGTGCCTTAGAACAAAGACAATTATTTAGGAGGAGCATGACAGTAATTTCTCCTGAAGGGTTTAGCAGAGTCAACATTTTTTTTTGGTCATGATTCAGTAGAAATTATTCACTTGGAACTCAAGTGAGGTTCTTGGGCAGTCAATAGTGTCTAAGCCAACGACCACACAGAAGCTCCTTAGAAATGACAAGGGGTGAGGTTTTCTTTGAAGAAGATGCCAGCTAGGGAAGTGGAGGGAACTAAGAAGAGCCTGAACTAAGGTCAAGACAGAAGGAACAGAGATTCTACTACAGGATTTGCATTGAAAGGAAGCAGGGTCATATCCTTCAAGCAAGGGCTCAGTGTAAGTGGAATGATGACCAAGCAGGAGACTGTGAACAAACTATACAGCAATGGAGAAGCCCCTTCACCCCCCACCCCAGTGGCACTGGTCTGGAAACCCTGTTAGAGTTTCTACACTTGGCCACTGAAGGCCGACACATAACTCTGCAGAAGGGTGAATTAGGAGCCAGGAAGGTGCAGAAGCTCAGGGGTCCTATTTCACCACTCAGTTATCCTAATAAACTGCAGATGGCGAGTTGGCAACCTAATGAAGTGCTTAATCCTATAGCAGTGTCCATTTCTCATGACAAAGGACTTCATTAGCCCTGAAGTGACAAGTCTGACCAGGCCAACCTGGGGTCCTGGCTTGTTCATGAGAAACTGTGCATAACCTTCCTGGACAACTCTTTCGCTTCTGCATATTAAAGTTTGTGGCCTCTGAGCCTCTCTTTTCCTTTGTCCCTCATTCCTGTGAACGGAGATAGACAGAGCCCACCTAATGTGCCCAAGGTGGGCAAAAGACCTGAAGAGATGCTGATAACTCCGGGGCAGCTTACTAGAGCCTCCCAAGACCAAAAGATGAAATTCCAGAGGCCAGAAAATATTTATTGCTCTGAGCCTGCAGAGCTAAATTGAAGGTTATTAAAATTAATTCTGACCACCATAAAGAAATGACGCATAATCCACTTCCATGCACACAGCTTAGGAAAAGAGTAAAATTTTCTTACTTTGGGATTCAAGTCAAAGAAGGTGTAGTATTTAAATCGTAACAGAAGCTGTTCGTCCTCCTGGATGCCTTGTTCCATAAGGGAACGTGAGGAGTCCAGCCAGCTAGAAAGCAACAGAATAAGTTATAAAAGTCACTCAGTTTTATACATGTAACACACCTTATACCCATAAGAAATTCCAGTAAGCAATATAACCAACAACCAATTAGGGAAGAGAGCTTAATCACAGCTTTCATTTACATTTTATCTTGTAGCTTTCACAACTTCTAAGTGCTTTGCTTTTTCACATAGAGAAGTTCCTCAGAAAACATTGGTTTTTTTTTTTCAGTGTTGATAAGAAAATAAAATCCTAACCAATAATGAACACAACTTAATCTGAGGACTTGGTTTTGGTATGCATTGTTTTGGGTATGGTCACAGTCACGGTTCTCCCATTGTTCATCGATTTGCTCAAGTGGGCCCAGTAATGTCTCCATTGTGAGACTTAATTGTTATTGTCTTTGGCATATTGAATACATCACGGGTAGCTTGCCAGGCTTTGCCGTGCGGGCGAGATACTCTTGGTAGCTTGCTGGGCTCTCCGAGAGGGGCGGAGGAATTGAACTCAGGTCAGCCATGTTGGCTGCATGCAAGGCAAACGCCTTACCCGCTGTGCTATCGCTCCCCCTGTTTTGGGTAAAACACAAATTTTGTTAAAGTCACTTTCCAAGAACTTATGGATTGTCGTAAGGACTACTGTATATATTATTTTTTCATAGACACATTAAAGTAACCCAGAGTAGGGGGGCCAGAGTGGTAGTACAGTGTATAGGGTGTTTGCCTTGCATGTGGTCTACCTGGGTTCGTTCCCCAGCATCCTGTGGTCCCCCAAGCACCGCCAGGAGTAATTCCTGAGTGCAGAGCCAGGAGTAACCCCTGAGCATCGCTGGATATAACCCCCCAAAAAAGCAAAAAAAAAAAAAGTAACCCCGAGTAGGAACCAGGACAGTTCTCCATTTTACAGATAAAGAAACAAAATCTCAGTGACATTAGTTGGTATTAGAGGTAACATGCTTGGTGGTGGGACCAGAATGAGAATAATCTGTGTTTACTGAATATCCACATGCCCTCTTCTTTACAACTTGGGGGCCCAAGCAAAGTTCACTCTACCTGATTGCCTAGTACTTTCTGATGGAATATTCTATTTGGCCTGCCCAAGAGAGTACCAGTAGCCACATGTTGACATGCTAAAGGTTTAAATTCAAATGTAAATATCTCCATGTACATTCTTGGCTCCAGGACCAGATGTAGAGTTGAAAAATTAAAATTAGAGAATGGTATTTGGTGAAGAGGTAGAGATGAAAAGTAACAAAATGAGGACAGATGAAGACTATAGAATACTGTGCATGTGAAAGGCTTACAAGCCTCTTAAATAAAGCCACACAGGAGAATAAGGATAACCTAACTGTATTCTCTATCCTAAAGGAACTGGCAGTTCAGGGGCAGATTAACAATTATCATAATGAGGGAATGACCAAACTGTTAGAATGAACTTCAAGGAAGTGACTGGGGTTGAGTGGTGATATCTGAGAAGGAGACAGTATGTGGTTGGGATTAAAAGGTCAAGCCAGGGATGGACCACAGGGTGAGAAGGTAAGGGTCTTGGGGCTAGTGGGCATGAAAAACAGGAAGAATACAGGAGAGACTTAGACAGCTGAGGTACATTCTCAGAGTTGAACATATATAATAAATTTCTCTTTATTTGGTGAACAACAAGGCATGGAAAAAATGGTGGTTTGAGAAATATTCTGAGTATATTTTCTGAGTCCACACCAAACCAAGCTGAAGGACTTGTGTATTAGAACACCCAGAGAGAAGTGGAGTTCACAAAAAGGGCCACCTGGGATCTCTTCACTGACGCATGGGAGCTAACTCATGTATTATCTGCTCTACTGTAATAAAGTATACTTTGAATACATATAGAGGTAAAGAGTAGTATTCATGTAGGGTGACCCACTGAGCTGCTACCTGAACACATACATGCTGTCAGGTGTTCAATGTACTGAAACCATCAAAGGTTGTGGGTTTCTCCTTTTGTCGCTACAATGTGCACTGTCTTCTGCTGATAGAATACAATCCTTGGGCATGCCGACTTAAACACTAAACACTCCACTCTCCCATCTCTGTGGCATCACCATTATTTGATCAACATCAGTTCAGAGAAGGCCAATGGGTTCATGTTCTTACCCAGCATTAAGCTTGGCTTTGTCAATGAGAGACCGAGGCTGGTACATTTCAGCAAGAGCTTCTGGAGACTGGGGGGGTTGGCTGAATGCAAGGATGCTGCAGTTCTGTTCTGTCAAGGGACTATCACTGAACCACGTCATGGTGGATGATGCTGGTGTTCCGTTGACAGGGTCATATGTGGGAGTCATGGTTTTACTGTATAAACCGGGACTAACTGCAAGGCAAAGAAAGAAGGCACTCTAAGATTTGGGGGTAAAATATTGGGAAAATAAGTCCTAACATTGCTTACAGTGAAATGGTTTTTTTAAAAATTTTTTCCCTTTATTTTATTTTATTTTTTTACAGTTGTAGATTTACAATTTTTTGTGCTTGGGTTTCGATTATACAATGATCAGATACCCATCCCTCCACCAGTGCCCATTTTCCACCACCATGGATAATATCCCCCCACCCCCATCCCCCCATCCCCCCTGTCTCTGTGGCAGGGCAATCCCCTGTGTTCTCTCTCTCCTTTTGGGTGTTGTGGTCTGCAAAAGAGGTATTGAGTGGCAAACATGTTCAGTCCATAGTCTACTTTCGACATGCATCTCCCCTCCTGGGAGGATCCTCCAAACATCCTTTATTTGGTGCTCCCTTCTCTATCTGAACTGCCCTTTCCTCTAGGATACCCGGCTGGCCTCTAAGTTATGGAGTAATCCTCCTGGTGCTGATCTCAGCTATTCTTGGGTATTAATCTCATACTTTGTTACTTTATATCCCCCAGATGAATGCAATCTTTCTATGTCTATCCCTCTCTTTCTGACTCATTTCACTTAGCATGATACTTTCCATATTGTACCACTTGTATGTAAATTTCATGACTTCATCTTTTCTAAGAGCTACATAGTACTCCATTGTGTAGATGTACCAAAGTTTCTTTAACCAGTCATCTGTTCGTGGGCATTCAGGTTTCTTCCAGTTTCTGGCTATTGTAAAGAGTGCTGCAATGAACAAACAAGTGCAGATGTCACTTCGACTATACATTTTTGCCTCTCTGGGATATATTCCCAGGAGTGGTATTGCTGGGTCAAATGGGAGCTCAATTTCTAATTTTTTGAGAATCGTCCATACTGTTTTCCAGAAGGGCTGAACCAGTGGACATTCCCACCAACAGTGAAGGAGTGTCCCTTTCTCGCCACATCCACGCCAGCATTGGTTGCTTTTGTTCTTTTGAATGTGGGCCAGTCTCTGAGGTGTGAGATGGAATCTCATTGTGATTTTGATCTGCATCTCCCTGATGATTAATGATGTAGAGCATTTTCTCATGTGCTTTTTTGCCATTCAGATTTCTTCTTTGAGAAAGTTTCTGTTCAGTGAAATGGGTTTTTAATGTGAATGTGCGTAACATTAAAACTCATTAGATGAGTGATGATCTATGGGAGAGAAATTGTACACAGGCAATGCTCTAGCCTCAATATTTATCTCCTGAAAGTTTTGATATGAAAACAATGTAAAAATTTCAAAGCTAACATTGACAAATAGTAGGAATTATCTCCTTATCAATTATTGAATCTTTTCCTTTTAAGATGTGAGTTATTAGAGAACTGAAGACCTCGTAAATTGAGTGCAAATATACACTTGGAACAAATCAGCAGTATTTTCCACTTGTAAGAATTCAGCTCATGTTTTCCAGAAAGGCTGGACTAGTGGGCATTCCCATCAATAGTGAAAGCCTTTCTGGAAAACAATATGGACAGTCCTTCAAAAACTAGAAATTGAGCTTCCATATGACCCCACAATATCACTTCAGGGTATATATCCCAAGGATGCAAAAAAGCACAGTAGAAATGACATCTGTACCTATATGTTCATTGCAGCACTGTTCACAATAGCCAAAACCTGGAAACAACCCAAGTGCCTTAGAACAGATGACTGGTTAAAGAAACTTTGGTACATCTACACAATGGAATACTATGCAGCTATTAGGAGAGATGAAGTCATGAACTTTGCTTATAAACGGATAGATATGGAAAGTATCATACTAAGTGAAATGATTGAGAAAGAGAGGGACAGACATAGAAGGACTGCACTCATTTGTGGAGGATAAAACAACATAACATGAGGCTGACTGCTAAGGATAGTAGATACACGGGACAGGAAGATTGCTCCATAGCTGGAAACCTGCCTCATGAGCAAAGGGGAGAAGGCAGCTGGAATAGAGACGGGATCACTAAGAAAATGATGGCTTCAGGAACTGGTCTGTATGAGAGATGTGTACTGAAAGTAGATAAAGGACCAAACATGATAACCTCTCAGTGTCTGTATTGCAAACCATAAAACCCAAAAGTAGAGAGAGAGTATGGGGAATATTATCTGCCATGGAGGCAGGGGGAGGGTGGAAAAGGGGGGTAGTAGGGGGGTATACCGGGGATGTTGGTGGTGGGGACTGTGCGCTGGTGGAGGGATGGGTATTTGATCATTGTGTCATTGTAACCCAAACATGAAACAAGAACATCGTAACTATCTCACGATGATTCAACAAAATAAAAATAAAAATAAAGAATTCAGCTTATGAGTGGTTTACAAATGATCTAGATCTTATTTGCATAAGGGAAGTAAAAATAATTCCTTTTTTATATTGCTAAATACTATACTTGCTCAATGTTGCAAGCAAACCATAGATTAATTTATTTTTATATTAAACAAATAATACTTTTGCAAAATTTTTACCTGCCCCTGCATGGCCAATTCAAAATTTATATTAAATTCAGTAAAGTCACATGTAGATAAAATCAGACAAAGATTTTATTTTATGTGAGTGACTCAAGGAGTCTCTTTTCTCACTGACTTCATTCCTGTTCTACTCAAATTTTGCATTCATCAGCACATATTACATACAATGAAAAGAATTGCTAGTAGACATATCCTGTTAAAAATGATAGTTTATAAAATGAGTCTAAAACCTTTCTTAATCAGAGGAATCCTGCAATTTTAGACATTGTTTGGGGGAGAGAAGGAGAAAGGGACAGAAAAGGAGGAACAGAAGGAAGGGAAACTTTGGGGGATATGAGAATTTAAAACAGTCCATATTCATGAATAGGTACAACAAAACATTGGTCACAAATCTCACCCGGTGAACCTGAACTTATTGAAGAACACTCCAGGTTCAACACGTCTTCAATGATGGGCTCTTTATTATTTTTGTCTTTCTTCTTCTTCTTTTTAAAATAGTCATCAGAAGGTTTTAACAAGGAAAGTTCTTCTGATCTTCTAATATCTAAGGATAAAGAAAAAATTTGGTGGGAAACAGTTACATTGTTTATTTATTATAGTGGGGGAAAATTTGGACCATAGCCAGCAGTGCTCAGATCTCAGGGATTGAACCCCAGTTGGCTGGCTGCAGGCAAGCACCTTACCCTCTCTACTAGTTCTGTGGCCACACATTATTTCATTATTTCAGTAATGTTCCATTTGGTTCAACTTTTACTTAAATGGATAAAGGTCCCTATGCTGAGCTTGGGACCTTTTTTTCGGTTGGAGTGATAGCTCCAAGCGCTAGAGTATATGCCTTGAATGTTGGTCCTGATTTTGAGCATCTGGTCCCTGAATACTGTTGATGGTCTCTGAACACTGTTAGGTGGTCCTTGTATCCTGCTGGGAAGGTTCTCCCTCCTCTGCCTCCAAAAGAAATGCATACTTCCCAAGAAGTGTTCTGTCAAGACCACAGCTTGACACTGGCAGAAAGCATGCATAATTTCTTTGTCCTGGGGCTGGAGTCACAGTATAGTGGGTAAGGCTTTTGCCTTGCATGAGGCTGACCCAGGTTTGATTCCCCAGCATCCCATCCCTGAGAACTGCCGGGAGTAATTTCTGAGTGCAGAGCCAGGAGTAAGCCCTGAGCATTGCTGGATGTGGACCAAACACAAACATAAATTTTTTTTTGTCTTCATATGCTGGAAGTTCAAAGAGCACAGCACCCCCCCCCCCCCACACACACACTCCCTTGATGCCATCCCTCTCAAGGTACTCACTTAGGGTTTTGCAGATATCACTGACAGCTTTAAAAACCACGGCAGAGAAGCTGACTCGCAATCTCACCGTCTTCACATTTGGCAGGCGGAGGCGAAGCATCTTATGCTGAGGGGTGAAGAGTAGCTTTGCATCCGCCTGGACTCCATACTTGTCCAGTGTCCAGTGTGTTTTCAGAAGCCAGCAGCGCTTCTGTTCCCACCAAAGGGCAAAATCTGACCAGTCTTGGGATATGTCTGCACAAATGACAGATGCGATGAAGCACACTCTGGAATATGCCTCCTAGAGTCAATTTGAGTGAAATCAGAAGGAAGCTGCTCATCCTGAGCAGCAACCCCAGGCTCAAGCATCCTTGACTTCTCTTCAGAGTCTCTAAAGTGGCTCAGGTAGAACACAGAGACTGAAACCTTCTATCTAAACTCTGGGTCAGGTGCAGAAACATATCTTATTCATGGTAACATTTTCAAGTTCTAGTCCCCATGGCATGGGTCTAGGAAGATCAGGCACATTTGACTTCCTGTATTCAAGATCAAGATTTGAGAGAGAGAGAAAGAGAGAGAGAATGTTTCATAAAGTAAGAGAAATTATGGACGCCAAACTGGGATGTGGGTAATTCCAGAATAAAGTGTGATATCTTGGTCTTTCTATTTTGTTTAAACAGGATGAGTAGGAAATGGTAAATAATTGAAAGACACAATAGCACCAAGCTACTTGTTTTACTGAGCAAAATCAACACTGTAACCCAATGCCCTGGCACCCAATGTCCTGGCACCTATAGTTACTATTCTCAACCCCGGGGAAAAGAGGGCCCACTGTGGGCCACCAGGCTATGTTTTCACCTTCCAAGAAGGTTAGGGGTGAAAACAGCATAAACAGGGATAGGGGCATGGTATGAAATTAGAGGGCCAATGGATTGGAAGGAGTGGGGGAGGGTACAGGAAGAAATCAAGGCAGAAGGGGACCTTAGTCAGAATGAGGCCAAGAGTTACTGTTCAGTGCAATGGGTTAGTTCTTGTGGGGATATGGCATTATATCAACTGGAAAGTTTCAGTCAGCCAAGGAAGAGTCTAACTTTCCAAGGTTTTTGAGTCTTTCAGAGACTCTATTTCTCTTCTTTCTCAAAGAAGGGCACCACCAAAGGAAATTTTATCAGAAAACTGCTGATCATATGACCTAGACCAGCCGTTGCAAAGGTTTAAAATTGAGAAAAACCAGGGGCTGGAGACAGAGTACAGTGGTTAAGGTGTTTGCCTGCATGTGGTCTAACTGGGTTTGATCCCTGATATCCCATATAGTCTCCTGAGCACCAGCAGGAGTGATTCCTGAGTGCAGAGCCAAGAGTAACCCCTGAGCATTGCTGGGTGTGATCCCCAAACAAAAACAAAATTGAGAGAAAACTTGGCCTGGAAGGGCGGGGGTGGTGATTCAGAAGCATGCATACTTGTCATGTAGTAGGCTCTGGTTAGACCTCAAGCACTGCCAGGGGTGCTCCCCTAGTACTGATGGGTAGCTCCCAGACCCCCCAAATATAGAGAAATCACAAAGAGCCAGTAACTTACTGATCTTTTCTACTAACTTGAGCATCACTCCTCCCACGTGCAGGTCTCCAGACACTCTCAGTGAGACAGGGTTCGGTTCCTCTCCGTGAGAGTTGTCTACTCGTATCACAAGCTCCCAAGAGGCCGAAACAAAGTCGCTGGAGGACAACATGGTGGCAAAGGCACGTGGTCACTGAATGAGAAGATGTGAATTAGAAGAGGAGCTGGAACTGGAGGCTTTCTGGCAGACACTGAGCAGCTTACTTTTCCTGCTTCTGTTTGTGGAGTGTTCTCTTCATAACCTGCTGATAGTCAGCATCCTTTATGTGTGTGTGCGTGTGTGTATGGAATTTTCTTTAATTGGATCACTGTGAGAAACACAATTACAAAGAAAGTTGTTCATGATTGGGTTTCAGTCATACATTATTCCAACACCTCCCTTCAATAGTGTACATTTCCCTCCACCAGTGTCACAGTTATCCTCCTGATAACTACTTTCCCCACTTCTTTCTTTCTTTCTTTCTTTCTTTCTTTCTTTCTTTCTTTCTCTTTCATTTCCTTCTTCTTCCTCTTCTTCCCCTTCCTCCCTCCCTCCCTCCCTCCCTCCCTCCTTCCTTCCTTCCTTCCTTCCTTCCTTCCTTCCATCCTTCCTTCCTTCCTTCCTTACTTCCCTCCCTCCCTCCCTCCCTCCCTCCCTTCCTTCCTTCCTTCTCTCTTTCTCTCTCTCTCTCTCTCTCTTTCTCTCTCTGTCTCCTTCTGGGGATCATGGTTTACAATACAGGTACTGAAAGGTTATCATGTATATCCCTTTGATACTTAGCATCTTAAAAGACAAAAAGTCCTGTGGAGTGGGATAGAGAGAGATGGATGCTTGGATGGTGTTTGTGGTGCAGTGATGTATACTTTGAAGAGTTGTGACATTGCACCCCTCAAGCAAAAACAGTAGTGTGAGTGTAGGAATGGGGGGTGGGTTGGGGAGTTGTTCTAAGGGTTAGCGTGCATACCTTTTATGTTCCAGGCTCTGAGTTCAGTCCCTGCCATGGCATCTCCCAACTCCCACCTTCCATAAACCTCGCTTTAATTTTATATTATTATTATTATTATCATTATTATTAATTTGCATTGTTGGGGTCAACTTCAAGGCCTCACCTGCAATGCAGGCGATAAACTATATCCCTGGCCTACTCTCTTATTTTTAAACTTTTAAAATTAATTTTGGGTTTTGGGCATACCTGATAGTGATCAGGGCTTCTTCCTGCTTAGGGATTCTTCCTGGTAGTGTTCAGGGGACCGTATGAGAATCTAGGGATCAAATCCAGGGCTTCATATGCAAGGCAGGCTCACTACCAATAAGTTACATCCCTGGATAATGCTCTTCTATTTTTAGATTTTTTTCATTTCGGAGGGTATTTGGTGGATACCCCTAGTGGAATTCAGGGCTATAATGTTGCAAGCCCATAGGAAACAAGCTCTAAGCCACATGAGCTAAACTCTTAATAACCATCACAGACATTTCAACCAAGCTTTGTGTTCCAGGGTTTGCTCCTGGTGGAGTTTGGGGGCCACATGATGTCAGGGATAGAACTCAGGTTAGCCTCAGGCAAGGCAAGTGCCTAAATCTTATCATATCTCTATGACCTTCTTTTACCTTTAAATGAAGAGCAAATCACACTATCTTTTGACTTTTTGATTAGAAAGCAACCATTTAAGTGATATCAAATGTTTCTCCTTTTACCATGTAAACACCAAATTTATGAGAAATCCATGTTTTCTTGGGTCTGCTCCTGGAGAAACATCAGCATCCCGCCCAATGCCTAAGCAAAGGCTTCTCTAACTGTAGGTGTACAGGGGGTCTGGGAATGAGTTTGTGCGAGATCACGTGTCTTTTGCAAGCCCTAGGCTGAGAGTTTGGTTCCCAGCACCACCCTGTAAACTGCATGCAGTCTGGGCAGCACTCTGGTTGTGGTTCCTGATATCATAATAGTAGCATCATAACCTGTGTTTGACCAAGAGTGCATGAGCACTTTAACCATGGGTATGACTCAGGTCACTGCAGCAACAACAATGAAAGGGAAAGGAGACTGAAGAAAAGTGCTCAGGATATGTTCCCTGGAGAAACGCTCAGGCTTTATTTAGCAGGTGTAGGATGGAGCTACAGGCCCTGAATTTATATCACACTCCAACTGATGCTGGCATGTAGAAGTCCAAATAGACAATTGAACAATAAGCTGTAAGACTCAGTTCCTGTCTACAATCAACCCAGATCAATTTAAGTCAGGAACTGTGCTGACATCTGAGCATTTTTTAAATAATATGCAATAATTAAAATGCCAGCATCACGCCATTTTTGTGTTTTATTGTGCTCAAATTTGTATGCCTAATGGGACCACAACATAAACAGAGTGAACACAGCATATCCGAACAGGTTTAGGACAGATTTTATATGCTCAAATAAAATTCCAGAGTTCAGAAGTTGCTCCTAATGTTATTTTTATGGCTTAGAGGATTTCAGTGCACAGAGAGCTCTTTTGCTGGGCAGTGAGGCTCACTACCAATAAGGGTTATTTCATCTGCTGGGTTTTGAATACAGTGCAGAGATTATTTCCAGCTAAAAACAGTAACAACATGTCTCACAATGGAGACTATACTGGTGCCCGCTTGAACAAATCGATGAACAACGGGAGGACAGTGCTACAGTGCTACCTCTTGATTGACTGTCATTATCAGCCTCAAGCTTCACTCTCATCATCTTTTATTATGGATTGGCTTACTGTAAGATGTGGTGTGTGTTTACTACTATCCTCTGTTACCTTCATCCTCTCAGCAACCCTATTGAGATACGAGGAAACACAAACTCAGAAAGGTTAGGTAACTTGTTGGAAGTCACACAGAAGCTGAGATTATAGCACCCAGACAGAAATTTAGGTCTATTCCAAACTCTTATTCACCACACCTGAACGTGTGCTCGATAATGTTGCAATGCCCATAGGAAACGGACTCTTTAAGTCACGTGAACTAAAATCTTAATAACCATCACAGGCATTTCAATCTACACCCACCTTTCTGAAGAAGGAAGAGACAAACAAAATACCTACTCATAGTCAAACTGGTGACATCACATTGGACCACTGAACTTTAGGATCATTATCATTTCTAAAATGCTTTGATCTGAGGCTCTTTAACACATTTTGAAAGCAAAGAATCTAACCTTAAGGTGACTTCTTACTTGCTTATTTCCTGAGCAATCAAACACAAAAGTCTATTCTTTTTCCGAACCTGGGCAATCAAGATACTTTTCATACAGGCAATAATAGAAGGTGATTGCCTCCACCGCACAACGAAATTCAGGCTAAAATTAGACATTCTGGTTTCCCTACATTCCTCTCCTCTCCTTCTGAGCCTTCATTTTAAAATAAACTCAACTGCAGCAAGCAGTTACTTGTTGAAGAGAGCAACAAACTTCCACTCGGAACGCGCAGCTACGGAGACCAGAGCGAGAAGCAAAGTGTGCCCGGCCGATTGGCCTGAGCTCGGTGAAGCACCTACTCGGGTGCTTTATAGAAAGTGCAAGAAAGACCGAAAAAAGAGAAGACAGAACGTTCTACGTGGGACAAAAGGATGGGGTGAATTAGCTCCAGTCGCTTTCCCTGGGAGATCCTGAGAGTTCTCACAGCCCACGGTCTTCTAGTCTCCTGCCAGCTTGCAGGATCCGGGTGCCCGGCCGGGCGCGTCTGCGCGGAGACCAATCTGTCCTTTACCCGACAAAGGCAGCGTCCCCTTTGCGCGGCCAGAAGCGCAGGGCCCTTGCAGAGCACCGTATTCGAAACCCAGCAGATTTCTTTCTGGGTTCTGCAGCAAGGGCTGCAGAAGGGAAGAGGGTGAGGGTCGTCGGGATCAGCGGGGCCCCGACAGCTCCCCTCCCCGCCTTCTGCAGCCGTCCAGCGCCTTAGCACCTACCTTCCTTCCCCGGATCTGAAGCGTGCAGCCGCGCACCCGGGCGCGTGGAGGACGGCGCCCCTGGGGACCCAGCAGTGGCCACCCGGGGCGAGCCGGGGGGTGGTGGTGGGGGAGTACACGGCGGGTGGCCGGCGCCGGCGTCGAGGGGGCGCGGCAGCAGCTGTCAGAGGAGGCTCCGTCCCGCGACCTCCGGCAGAGGCTCGACGGCCGCCCCCAGGCGGGCGCGGTGGCGCGGTGGGTGCGCGCTGTCTCCGCCCTGCGCCGCCGAGCGCCTTGGGCAGGCAGGAGCACGCTCAGCCCCGGGCCTGCTCGGTCTAGCTCAGCGGCGGGGCAGGCTGGCTGGCCAGGTGGCCGCTGGGCAGCATTGCATCTGGGCTGGGAGAAGGCGCGGGGGCGGACGCGCCGCTGTCGGTCCCCGGCCCGGCTGTCTGCAGGGTTTTCTGGATTCTCGTCTGCGCTCAGCCAACTAGCCAGCGGGTGTGTGTGTGTGTGTGTGTGTGGGGGGGGGGGGGGGTGGTGGTGCTTCAAGTCCTGTCACTTGCCCTGCCCTCCAGGTATGCCCAGCAGTCCCAGCTCCAGACGAGCACAGCCGCCACCCCTTTTAAACAGCCAGCAATAGCGCGGATCTGCAAAAACGGTTCAGCTCTGAGTAAGAGGGCGAGGCTGGTCCTCGGAAGGGCGAGGCGCTACACTCATCCTGGAAGACCCTGGGCGCCCCCAACGGAAGCTAGGGGTGGCTCAGCGTCCACTCACCACCCCACCCGAGCCACCTGGTCACCTTCCTGAACGGGTGGACTTCAAAACAAAGCCACAAACCCGGAAGCGAGGGCGACCTTGAGTAGTTGACTTAAGGTCTGTTTATTGACACTTGATGAAGGCGACATGCCAGGTCTGGAGCTGAGTACCTGGGAGACCCGGAGACCCTGGTTACTAAAGCGGGCATGGAGATGATTGATTGCTCGTCTCTAAAATGGGTCAGATAGGAACGCCCCTCTGGGCTCTATTCTGCGTAAAACTCTACCCCATTCCATGGTAGAATTTTCTGCAGCATCCCATGGGCTTGAGAAAAGAACATCAAGTACATCCAATTTGCAGTGAACAACTGTTCACGTAAGAACATTTTAGAAGGCTGGGATGGCTCTGAGACCAAAGTTCCTGCCTTGTGACCCCCCAGTTTAGCCCCATTCTCAGTGCCTGCACTGCGGTGTTACTGTT